TACGTTGAAACGAGATACGGTCGATCGGTCACAGATTTAGGGCTTAAGTAAAGTATACAATGAACGATTGGATTCGGTATTTCTAAAGGGGTCTCAAATTTACATAAGGACGCCGAGTTAACGTCCGCGGCCCAAATAAAGACGGAAAGTAATTTGCATATGCAAATATCTTACCGTTCTCATGCAAATACTCGCTGTATTACAAACGGCTTAATGATACTTACACAGCCTCTGCGATTCCCTGGGCGCAACGTGCGAGCCCGCCCTATTTGTCTTTCAATATCAGCCAATGCAATCTGACTCGGTCGTTTACTTTCAATGAATGCCTTTCATTCCAATTTGACATACAATGTTGTCGGTAATAGATTTTGTACATTCTTGATGTTTGATAACGTTATTTCTGTCATTGTTTATCTTAAGAGCGCGAGATTTAGAGACTATGGCCTTTTATATTGTAGAGAAGTTGTTATATCAGCTATATAGATAACTATGGATGACATATAGTCATATTCTGTAGAAGTTTAGAGAATGTTGGCATTGTTATGTGACACAAGAATATATTTAGTTGCTTTTTTAAATGACGTCTTACGTATCGCACTAAAATGAGTGAGAATAAGTAGAGATAAATTAGAAACGTTGATGATTACTGCTGTATTCTTAGATTTTTGTGTTAACTCCTTTATCATTGGATTCGAGTCAATAAGCTCGACCATGTTGTTCTCAAAATAGAATTACATCTGGACATTCTTTATTGGTCAATAGAAATTTAACCATTCGATTGTGTGCTACATGTAATACTGGTTCGTCTGTTATAGGCGATGACACGGCATTCGTGTATTGTTCATTATCATTACCAACCGTTTGTGTATCGAGTCCCGCTACCCACTACGTACATTCTTAATACATTACTGTACTATAATTTATAATAAGCGACAAACGAGTTTTATCGTTGGGAGTGTTACTTGTGCCAATCATGACCCATAGAATTAGTTTTTTGTGTTACTCGCCATCTCGACAGAGTGATTACATTGACAGTTGACGTGTGTCAATCCAAAACGCTGCACAAAGTTATAATTACGCTAATACAACGTTTATTGTTGGCACTGATTAATGTTGTTGCCAAATAAGGAAAGGTAAGTATGACTAATAAGTTATTGTAGGTACAGAAGAAATAATATAAGCATATAACAAATGCCTGTGTGAGATTATACAGATGTTTATGTTATCGGTTTTTCAGATTATTTTGCATTGTTATGAGTATTGCTTTCGTTACTATTTTTACGTTTATATACTGTATATTGATAGACCGTGAAATCAAATAGCTTTCCATTGAATATACTTAAGTATTGTCTTAATAGAATAGGTATTTTATTTTAAACAAGAGATATCTGATAGTAGTTTCTTATTCAAAGTTAAAATAATATATAAAAAAAGGATAGTCAAATAATTAAATTGTTTTACAGGACTGACGAATTTTTCTAGCACTTATTCGCTACTACAGAGCGTATTTGGGTGGATTGCCTGAACATTGATACGCTTGGTAGTAGTGAAAAAGTAACAAGTGCTTGAGAAATTCGTTAGGCCTGTTGGGTCCTGGGTAGCTCAGTGGTTAGAGCAGTAGTCCAGCAGGCCAATTCTGGTAATGTATACGTAATAATCGCATCTCGATAGAATCTCAACGACTTGCATTTTACCATTGTTCTATCTACATAAAGTTCAATGTTATTAGTTCAATGTCTTCCTCACACATCGATTGAGTCTTATATATAATAGTATTGGAGTTCAGGTAGGTAGTACAAGGGCAAAATGCGAGTAGTTGACATCATATTGACACGCTATTATTACGTAAACGTTAGCAGAATTGGCCTACAAATTGCGAATAGGGCTCAAACCCATGGCGGTTTGAGTTCAATTTCAGAGTGCCAGGGACAGTGTGGATTTTTTTAACATTTTCCATTAAGAATATTTGTATGTGTAGCATTGTGAATGCAAAATTCATCCAATATATTAATTAGTCAGAATTTATTTTAGCTGCGGATGAAGGCATTCATCAACGATCGAAGACAAGCAATTCTTCATAATTTAATAAACAGTATTAACCGTCACATTACATTAACAATTTACCTATCTATCTATCAGATTAGTGTCAAATAGTATAGAAATCATCTTTTGTTCATTAAAATTATTCAATTCATTGCCTGTCATTCTATTCATTAGCTTAATGTAAAAAACAAAACCTAGCGTTTGATACGTTGAAAACTCCGTTAGCAATTTAAATGTTTAGTGTTGCATGTACAGGCAAGCTCTATTATTTACTCTGTGCATTAATGTTTTATCTTCGTTCAGCAATGTCGTTTTATTGCAGCTGCAGCGAATGTGTTGGCGTGTTCTCACTATTTTTATCACCACTTTCTTTGTAACTGCCGTTGGAAAGTGCCTGTTTCGGGTTTTTACGGTTTACGAACGTACTTTGGATATAATATCGTAATTTGGTTATGTAAATATTTTGTTGGTACTAGTAAGTTCATAGAATATGTTTCAACTATCCGTGAATTTCCATCCCATAATTATTTTTACTTTTATTTGCTACTTAAATGAACGTTTTTATACCATAATAAACTATTTTCTCGAATGCATCCAAAGGTTAGCCATTAAAGGTACTATCAGATGTCGATATACAGAATAAACGGCTCGCTTCTCGGCCTGCATACGACGATAACATCTCACTGTACAAATAGCGCTATTAACCTTAACACCGCTAAATGCGACATGTTGAGAACCGCTAACGTGCTTCTCGCTCGCTCTTGTCAATTTAGCCGGTGGTCTCGTTCGCTCATGGTGCGGCTGTGTTTTTAAATAACAGGGCGATGAATTAAAACGATATGGTGAGCTTGTGGCGTGGCTCTCGTACAGCCCAGTGACGTAATAAGTAGTAATTGATAAAATAAACATTAGTTCTCGCGGTGCGGGCGGCTCCGGCTGATATTATCGGTAGGGTTATACAATCGAAGCTCCATTTGAGTTTCGAACGACGTTCGATGACCCTTTTGTGTGAGATCTAAGACTTGAAACGAACTCTCTCGTTAGGTATCAGGTTTACGATCGGCACAATCTTATGGGTTGTATTTTCAGTTTGGGTATATTTCTACTAAAAAGTTTCCTTAGTATTTATTTTTCATACATTCAATTTTACAAACCTTAGGTATATAAATCATTAAGATTTTTGGAGTTTAAAAAGTTTTCTCAAACGCCAAATAAGGAATCGACATTGATGGTTGATATGAATATATCGTCAGATCTAATTATCAAGTTAATAAAATACTTGTTCTCATGATGGGCTGTCTTCTACCTGTAATATTTTTAAACGACTATAAAAGGAGTTTGAATCCTAATTATATTATAAATGTAAAAGTTTTTTTGTTTGGATATTTTATTTGTCTACTGAATGGTTTTTGATGAAACTTGGTATACAGATGGATATTAGCTGACTTATATAATAGGTTACTTTTTATCCCATTAACATTTCCCTAGGGACCTCCCGGGCGAATATATGTAGTTAAATCAGGGTTCATAATTGTTAAGATAATTATATTTTTGGATAATTGTATAAATTTTTAGATATTATAAATATTGTAGTTATCGGCAACATTTTTTTTATTTAATAAAAATTATGCAAACAAAAAAATGAACTGTGAAATCACATTTAACAAAAAGTGAAACGAAAATATGTGTAAGTATTATTATTTTTTATTAAATAATCATTTAGATGATTCCCTATTACAAGTACTAAATCCCAAAAATAGTCAGTGTAGTGTTTTATAATTATCAAGTTAATTATTACTCAGAACCCCGAGTTAAATTACTAATAATTACTTATTATTATTGAATAAACTATTTCCGGATTCCGATATGCGAGTAACAAACCAATCGGATGTGTTCCTGCCACAATTCTTCTGTAACATAAAATAGAATACAATTTACGACATAAACCGCTTCTAAAAATACATTGTGAAACAAATGCTTACAATGTAAAGAAAATTACAACAACATTCCGTTCCGTATCGTATGGCATGCGGCAGGTCGTTAATGATACTAATGACGTAACGCATACACAAAATAAATATGGCCGTTTGACTCGTTCCAAATACCTGATATACATCACACATACCTCATTGTTCAATAAATAAAAGCGCGCGAAAGATAATAAATAACAATGCGGCAACAGTTACCGGATCGTGGATGACTCTATTTGTATCGTAGTGAAAGGAATCTGTGTATAGTGACTTATTGTTTTGCGAATTTGTTTACGTTACTATTGCTGAGATTTATGTTTCGAGTCGATATGTTTGATCTGATAAATATTTAGATTTAGATTAAACAAATACTGGTTCTATATCCACTGCTCAAGAGAGTTGTAAATCATGAATGCTGCAAATCTATGTCTCGGTACGCGTAGAAAATGTAATTTTAGTGGGAGTCGTGCGGTCTACAGTCTTATTGATGTGACGTGAACTATAATTAGTTATTTCAACACTAATCATTTACATACAATAACTAATAATATACTGTTAAAAGCAATTAAATTACACAATCACTAATCACTTGACCACCGGGATGTCAGGTAACTGGAAGTTCAATGGCTTTTTGTAATGGTAAATTTTCTATTCTTTATCTCTAATATTCGTTTACAAAAGCTTAAACAAAATCTATTGAGTATGCTTACAAGTTTTGCACGTGCATAGATAACTGACCTATCCAATAAAAAGCCATTGTTAAATAAATCTTTGTCGGTTTAAAAATTGTTTCGAAAACAATTAACAACGCCGTAACCAGTATAATTAAGCACCCAATGGTCATAAATGTGTCATTTTGCATTTTTGGTATTTTTGATTAGTTCGCTACGGTCGGTCTTGAAGAGTAGATGTATAGTATATGCGCTCCGTACGGACGCTCCAGTGATATATTTTAGTTTTGAATTGTTAAAGTGATATGCTTGAAATATGTCTAGAAGAAAGGAACTTAATTTAGAAAAATGTGCGCAGATACAGAGACTTCATAAGGAAGGGAAATCACACGTAGATATCGCGAGGATTGTAAAATGTTCCTATCGATCTGTAGAGTTTGCTATCCAACGATTATTTGTGACTGGGCCACGCATTGGCCGTAAAGACCAGCAGCTACTGAGGGAATCGATGAAAAACAGAAAAAAGACTAATTCAAGCATCAGCAATGCTGAGTCTTCTGAAGAAATTAAGAAATCAATTTCTTCTAGAATAACTCGGAGGAGACTCACAGAAGGTGGTCTGATACGTTGTGAAGACAGTAAAAAGGTTAAGGTGAGTTATTTCATAAAACCTCAGATTTAACTTGAATTTCGCTTACAAAATTAGTAAAAATTTCTAAATGTGTTGAGAGAAACAGATTTCTGATTTACAACTTTATGTATAGGAACTGTCTATTTTTTGATTTCTTTGTGTGTATTTATCACATCAAAACATTGAATCTGATGTCATATCTTTGGATAAACATATTATTTCGGAGCGGAAAACTCAACAGTAACGTAAACAAATCGCAAAATATCCTAGATAGATTCTTTACTAAGATTGATGGGTAGGATCTACTAATCTTTAGTTCATCCAAGAGTAAGTTAGTCACAATACCGTTCTAGTTCGTTTTAAATTTGTTTTTTCTTAATTCACCATTTCATCATTCTTTTTATTTCACAATCTATCAAATTTTCAATATATTTCGGGTTTCTTGATGTATGCAAAGTAACTAAAACATCTTTGTGAAGATTACTGAATACAATATTACACATGTCAATCAAAATTATTACCTAACTTTTATACTATTGGACTTTAGAAGTGCTTTTATTAGAGAAATTTCCTTTTACGTTTATTATGTGTCTATAGAGACGTGTATTTATTTACTTGGTTAGTCTGTCTTAAATATACAGTAAGTATGCATTGAAGAGAGCTTGTGATGATGCGGCATAATGACGGGTACCTCAAGGTAGTGTTATTTCTCCACTTTTATTTAATAAATGGCGCATAGTCTTATATAGTTATAATGTATATTATTAATCAATAAAATATCTTTTACTGGCTATTCACATTAAAAGATTTCTTTTTTCATTCCTTATCTCAAAACAAGGCAATCTAAATGAATTTCAGTTCTATTACCATTTTTAATGAACATCCACAGTAAAAGTTAATTAGATAAATAGCTCGAGCGTCTTGTTACATCGACTATTCTCAGGTGCAATAATTAAGTGTATATTGGATTTTTAAATTTCAATGTGATCATGAATGTTTATTTCTTTTCATCAAAAAAACTGTGCAGACGTTTTCTTTATTATCGACAAACTCATTTAAAAAACTCTTGCAAAGAATAAGGAATCGTCATGCGCTTTCTTCGCGCGCGGCGAGGCTATAATTCCATTTTCTCTGCCGGGGTAACATGAGGCGGTGGAGCTCATTTCATAACCCATAATGCGGTAGCTCGAACCCTCTCCTTCCCGAGTGCGAGAGGGACAGGTACATCTATAAACCGGTCCGTGTCCGAATTTGAACTCTACCTCATCGTAAATAAACTCGTTTATCGGTTAAGTGAGCAGTGATGTCTTCCGCTCACTGCAAACAACGCTACACTCGGGTAGAAGTTTTCTGCTTCATTTATTAGCCGGCGAATGTCGACGTGGAGCCAATACACCGTCGAGAGCTCGCCACCCCGAGTCCTCTAGACGATTTATGAGTGAAACTCACACTAATTCCACTAACAGCGCTCCCCCAATTTGAATGTTAATTTTTAACAATTTAAGACTGTTAGTGACTTCGGTATGAGCCGCGCCGCGTCTTTTGAATACGTAATGTATCCTCGTTTAATTCGGATTTACGCCTTCAATGGCTACTATAAACTCACCGTCCGTAACAAGTACATATTTATTATGATTGTTCTGTGCAAGGGACGCTACAGTTGTTTATTCAATAGAGAAATTCTATTATTTACAATGATTTAACTTGCGGCATGAATATTTAAATGTTCCTACTTGTTGTTCAAATTGGATTTATTATTGTCAACGAACAGAATGGAAAGCATAAATTATAGCTTTTTAATTTTAGTGTAATTTTGTTTTCAGGTAAGTTCGTGAGGCGGGATTCCACCGCTATAATTATCCGCAGTAAGTACAAGAGATAGAGTCGGAAAAAAAAACAGTACTTAAAAAAATATAACTGCGAATGTTACTCGAAATTAATATTCATTTCTGTATTTACATACAAATAGATAAGTTTGCATAATTAGATGTTTCCGAAGACCTTTAGTTTGTGAAATGGTATTTTTATTTTTTCTTGAATGATGGCTCGGGTCACGTTTCTACCATTATGTCGGAACGATTGCTTATTACAAATGGTTATTACGTTTGTTGTTAAATTTTATTGTGTAATTTTTATCACCGTACTTATTCTGAAGCAGACATTTTGTTTTACTGCTCTGTAAAACGTTAGACGTCTTTAAGATTATTGAAATAAATCGACTGCCAACGTGTACATATTCTTATGAGTTTTTTTTACTATGATGTTAATTATAATTAAAACCATACATTGGTCTGATTTCAAATCATTTCGTTAAAGCATAAAAATTTAGAAAAATGAAACGAATGGAAAAATAATAATCAATTGAAGTGAATACAATGTACTATACAATGTTTTTGCCGACGACGACGACAGTAAAACCTCTTTATATAGTTTTTGTATACTTTTTATACTTTTATTATTTTCATTTGTATTTTGTTTTATTATGTCATGATATAGAAAAAATATCGTAACCCACGGCTTTTTATTTCAGAATTAATATCAATGTTTAAAATTATCCCGTTTATTTAGATTTCTATTAATAGACAAATATATTATCGTATAAATTAGATTGTGTCTTGTTTAATATATTTTCCTTAGTAACCACTCTTAATATTATCTCAAAGCGAAAAAGATTCTGTTTCTTATTACCCAATGACTTTTGAATTTGATCTCAAATATTCCATTATGATATTCTGCTTATTCAAACGTAAATTATACTCGGGAAGCCAATGAATTACGAAAACATCACAGTTAAGTATATTATTAAGAATTAAAGTCTAGCTTCTGATATATTTGAGAATGTAACTTGTCGTACAATTCTGACTTTCATAAATAATAGTTCGTGCAAAGCTTTGAGTTACAACAAAAACTTTCCATACTAAGATATAGATAGTAAAAACATCTACATTTTTAAATTTGAACATTAAAAAAGGTCGTTCCAAAAAGCTATTCAAAGTTATCTTTGAGACTTTTTATCGATCTGTTGATCTAATTATTAAAATCTTTCTGATTCCACAAAACTCGTTAAATATGATAAACGTTTAAATAAAATAAAAAAAATATGACAAAAGCAATAAGCTGTCGTTAACAAATTCCCGGATTTCATGGCTCTGTTTACAAAACTGGTAATTAAAACAGAAATGCAGCTAAGCCGTTTATACCACGCAACCTCGTATATCCGTTGTAAATTATGTATACTAATAATATGAAAACTTCTAAATCCGACACGCAAAGACTTTATTATTTACGAGTGCGGGGTGTAGAGGGAGGTAGAGCTTTGATCTCCACCTACCATTTTCTTATTCCCTTCGCTTTAATTATTTCGCTCGCGAGCTCTCCACCTCGCGGAGTGAATTTTAAGAGGTTGTCACAAAATGAACTCTTAATTACGACCTGACCAAGTATTATTTGTTATAATTAATATTTCTCCGTTTCACAACTGAACTACAAACGTTTCTACCGGATTTAAAAAGAATTCTAGGTGCACTCCTACTACAAAATTTAACGTGAACCTGTCTAATTATATCGATAAATATAATACTTAAAAATTTTATAACGTTTGAATTGACAAAATCTTTCCAAAAAATTTTTGTGGAGCCGTGGAAATTAAATATAACATAAAATATGTTATACTCATAAGTACTAATATACCAACAATATCTCATATCTCTCCTCTCGTCGAGAGTGATATTATTATCATAAAAGTTTCCTACACCCTTTTTTCTAGCTTCGAATACATTTTAAAATTTCGGATACTCGCTCTACCCACCCAGTCAAAAGTCCATTATTTTATTGAGGAAGTTGACTCTGTGACTCGTCGTTAAACCCAACGGTGATCACATTCAGACCATTACGATTTTATACTGCTATAAACGGGTACATGACTCCCGTCTATTTTATAATTATAAAATAATACTCCGAATCCAGTTTTCGAGATGGTAACAGGACCATTCAATTTCGTAACTAAATTGAATCGTCCTGTTTTTAGCGGCCAATATTATTTCGCAGAAAATGTGATGGCTCTAATGGACTCTATATTTAATGTCATATCAACAATATTGTGCATATCTATTTGGTTAAACGTAAGATTTTAAGATCCCCAAAACAAAATTTGACATTAGCAATTATACCTGCTTTTGCCTGTAGGTACCTACTAGGAGAACATTATCCCGAGAGAATAGCGCGTTGATTAGAAAGTTTGCGTGATAATTAGCAACGTGGGAGGGCGCCGTAATCGCATTACATCTACTCGGATATTCGCAGCGAGCCCTGGGCGGACTATTGCCAACTCAGACTGCTAAACTTATCCGACTCGTTTGGACTTCCGACACTTCTGTAAGCATTAGTAACTGAGCTCTATCAAATTAATTGTCTCAAAGAAATACACCCAACTAAACTGTCTTTTATGGTAATCAATATTGAAACAATTATTAACTATAAAGTAAATCTTGTCTTAACTTGATCCTTAATAGGCAATTATTACTCACGTTACAGTTGATAAATGATTTGCTTATTGCTGTTTATTACGGATAATAAAAGGCAATGTCGATTATATACCGGTTTTGTAATAAAATAAAAGTTATAAAGTTCAATTCGTGTTATGTCTCATGGCTTTTTTCGTGTAAACAGCGAAACAAAGAAAAGCTCGGAAAACCTTGTTAACTTTTTAAAGAATTCGTTTGCGCCTCATGTATTATTCAGTATTCTGTATAGACACGCGCTATAGCTGGCATACATGTGTTTATCTGGCGTGGCCACCTCTACCCTCCTCAAAATTGACATTTTGCAAAGTGCCCAACCCTTTGTTGTTCAGATGAAATGTGAATTTCAATGAAAACGGGGTTACAATTGCTCAAGCCCGGCATAACCGTAAAAAAAAGATTTCATTACGAGTCATCTTTGTTATGCTTGTGAAAGTCCATTCCCTCTTGAAGAATTGTCAAGGGGAAACGGTTCTTTTTCGTACTGTTTAATGTTCCAGCGAAAAGCTCCTACAATACTTTGTCGGTGCCACGGGAGAGGTAATTAACTCCGAGGTTGTTATTGTGTTTTTCGCTTGCTTTTACTCAATTAAAAATAATTTAAAATAATAGGTACGGACACAAAGACAACGGCGGGACGCGGTCGGAATAATTTGAAGCTCAGAGCAAACCTCTGGCTGGAGTTAGCATCTTGTTTCATTAGCGCGCGCCTGTCTCGACAATATTTATACGCCTCGCGGATCATGAATATTTACGTTGCGGCGTGGCTTTAAACAGCAAATTTTGACAGAGCTATTTACTCTTTTGAAATATTAAATTATACACAGTGGATTTGTAGCGCGACTGTAATTAATTTGATAGTATGTTTGTTGTGAGATGCAACGTAGGGGTTAGTCGAGCGGTCGACTTGTTTTACGAGTCCCTGAAGCAGGATAAAAATCAAACGTCTGTATGCTCGTAAAAAAGCGTTGCGTTTCTGAGTTGATAAATAAAACGCCGACCGTGTATGGTGATCTTTGGTCGGTCAGAGACACATAGCTAGCGCTGTCTAAATAACAAATGCGGATCAGTTTGGGGAAAGGATAATATGCAATATTTTAACAGCGTTACGAGTCTCCGTCGGAACGCTAGGGGCCGCGGATTTAGCGATGAATGCTTTCCTGGGGACCGCAACTATTTGCCGGTCGCTCCTATTATAGGAAGGAGAATGAGCTTGTTTTATGTAAACAGATATATCTTCGGGTAGGTTCTTATGTCATTTAAAATTCAGTACGCGTATTTACACTTTTTTTTTATGATATCTACAAGACAAATAGAAAAATAAATATTGGGACATCATTTTTTGACTACCTATTCTTTTGAGTTTTTATCCATTTAACGTCTAATGTCTTTGAATTTATTCATTGTTAATAGTGTATGACCGAATGTTCGGTTGACAAACCTACCGACACTACGACTGAAACCGAAACTGCATTCTCGCGTTGTGATTGATCTTATTTGGCGCAGATATTTCCATCCGCGAATGAAATCCGCCGGCAATGAGTGGAACTAGAATGACAGATCGGCTATATTGTCATTAAGTCGTGTATTTTGGGTTGCAGGTTGTGTGTTTTTTACCATTAAATATGGTATTTTAATAATAATTCTTCACTCTTTTTAGATTCCATCAAACTGCTCATAAAAACACCTCAACTATTTTTAGTACTTTTAAGGCACAAAAGTACTAAAAATATTATTTGTTCCTTTAAGGACCCCCCTCATCTTATTGTGGGTGATTTAGGGGTTGTTAAGTATGTTGATTATCATGATGAAAATGTCTAAGACTGAATAGCTTTTTAATTTAAAGATAAGAAAATAAAGACAGACTGATTATAAAATCGTTTTCTTTATTTTTCCCTCAAAATACGATCCTTGTAAGGAAGTTTCGGTTTTGATTTCGGCCGAGACAGTTGCCGAATTCTGTTTCGGTTTCGTTTGGAATAACAAGTTTTGGTCGGACACTAATTGTTGATTAATCTTAAAGATCACAAGTTGTCGGGATGATTAATTACTCTCGAGCAATTGATATTTACTTTGAATATTGTATGTACATTGAGTTGATAATTGATTTTGACATTGAAGTTAAGTGATGTATCTATCTATGAGTAAATTTAATATAGCCATCGATTCATTATAATTGAGTCATCGCAATAACTGCAATAATATTGGTTTTCGATTGGATATCAGTTCTCCGTTTCATCTATAATTAATACTTAATACTGAGCGAAATCAACTCTATCGCAACCACACTGGGTTGCAATATTGCTAATGTTAAC